AACATCGCAAATGGTGAACGCTTTTTTCTAACGGTTGAAAATATCTTTTTGAAAGAAAAAAAGTAAAAAGGAAAAGAAAAAATTTATAAATTAAACTAAAAATGAAATCAACAAAAAAGAAGTATAAATAAACTTTTAAAAGAAGAAAAGAAAAAGAAATATCTAAAAGAAAATAAGTAAAAAAACATTAATGAATGAAATATATAAAAAGAATGGCAAAGAAAGAAAAAAAACTATTTAGACAGCGGAACCTCGATCGGCAAATCAAGATTTTTTTTTTTTTTTTATATATTTATTATATATGTTTTATTCTATCTTATTTATTCTTTATAATAATAATAATTATTATTATTATCATTGTTATTATTATTATTATTATTATTATTATTATTATTATTATTATTATTATTATTATTATTATTATTATTATTATTATTATTATTAAGATTAATTGTATATATATAAATTATTTTTTTAAGGTATTTACTTGAGATAGGATAGTATTCCAATACTATTTGTAAATAGCCGTGAACATTTATTTTCAGAATATATATATGATTGATTGATTGGTATATATATATATATATATATATATATATATATATATATATATATATATATATATATATATATATATATATATATATATATATATATATATATATATATATATATATATATATGATTGATAGGAACACACTTACACGTTTAAATTATGAACGTAATTGAAATTAATACAACACTTCAATGTACTAATTCTCATTACTTTAATTTTTGACCTAATTTAATTATTGATAGGAACACACTTACACGTTTAAATTATGAACGTAATTGAAATTAATACAACACTTCAATGTACTAATTCTCATCACTTTAATTTTTGACCTAATTTAATTTCACAGTAAAAGCCAAAGTCTAGTATAACAAATTGTTTAAGTCAGGGGTTAAGTAATTCGTTATACTCGGGCTGATATTAATATACCTAACTCTCTTTTTCTCTTCTTTTTATGTAGTCTTAATGAAAATAAATGAGATTTATTTTCATTAAGACTTCATAATTCTCTGACAATTAATGTTTTAGGTATTTTTGTATCATTCCAATTCCAGTTTAACACTTCATTTACATTACTATCGTAATAAGACACTTCATTGTTATTTTCTTTCGCAAAAACTGATTGAAAATAGTTATTAAAAAAATTTGCAATTACTAACTATGTTATTGTTGTCTCTTATCGATTGCATTTTGGGTAATGTGCTTTGTTTAGTTTTGACATACGAATAAAATAACTTTGGATTAGCTTTGAATTTATTTGATAGTTGATTTTCACATTCCATTGTAAATTGAATGTGAAAATCAACTATTTATAGATCTTGGTATCATCCTACTAATCATTTTATATTCATCTAGAAAATGATTATTTTTAAAATTTTTTCAGCAATGTTTGGAAAGAGCCATAATTTTTTTCTTTTGAACCAAAGGTTTCTTAGGTATAAAAATATTGCATTAATCATCATATTTTATTAAAATTTTTTGTAGCATTCTTCTTTAGTACTATTATCTGAAATAAAACTCCAATCAACATTAGGAAAGTCTAGGTTTAGTTTTTCATAATCTCCATTAGCATATTTGAATATTTTTCAATTATATCTTAGATCTTGGTGATTTGTTATCAAAATATCCATTTTCAATTTTGATACACAACGAGTTCTATTTAGCCCAATTGTAGGTGTGTTTGCAAGTCACGCAAACTTTCACAATTGTTGGATAGAATTAAATCCAATGTACTTGTTGGTTTAAAGATATTGGTTTAGAGTGTTGGTTTGTATACAAACTGTTGAATGTAATTATTGTTTAAGTTGTCTATAAAAATAGTACTCTGTTCACTGTTTGATTTAAGTATCGTTGATCTATCATCATTCCATCAGGGTTCCCACTATCAAAACTGAGGCTAAAAGTAAGGATTTTAAGGATATTTTCCTAATATTTAAGGAGATTTGGTCGCGAACGACCGTTTTTTGATAAAAAAAGTAAGGAGAATTCAGGAGGAAACGGTTTACATTAAAAACAGAATCTTATTTTTTTCAATAATTTAAAAATAAACAGAAAAGTTAGTACAAATTAATATATTACTTTACATATATAAAAATATAAATATATTTTCTATATATTTTCTTTTTTATTAAAAAGTATAATCCATTCACTTTAATAAAATTTCCTAGATGTTTAAAAAACTAAAATAAATAAGGAGATATTAAGTAGAGCAGTCGAACTTCAACTTTTTCAAAAAGTTATTTAAGGACTTTAAGGAGGATTTTTTTAAAAAGGATATTTAAGGTTTTTAAGGAAGAGTGGGAGCCCTGTCCATTGTATCTCTGGATAATTAAAACCCCTAACAATAATAAGTTTTGAGCATTACTTATTATATGGTTAATTGTACAGTTTTTTTTTAGATGAACTATCGGGTGGTCTATAAACAAACCCTATCAAAATATTTTTAGCTCCAATAATTAGTAAGCACCAAACCTGTTCAATAAAATTAATGACATATAGCCATGTAATGAATCATGTTCAGACAAGAAGTTATTAAATTATCTTTGAAGTATATTGCAACGCCATTGCCCTCTTTATTTTTTCTGTTTGCTTGGTAACACTGATAACTATCAACACTAACATTAGAACTTTCTCTTAACCAAGTTTCACTTATTAATAATATCTGGTCTATCGCAAAGAATTTCGCTTTTCAATAAATTCATTTTATTATTTAAAGATTTTGGATTAGTTTCTTGTTGATGATGTTGCAAATAATTTAGAGCTGTGTTTTTTTGAAAGAATTTTGGTGGTGTTTTTTAACTTTAAGGCATTTTTTCATTTTTTACAATTAATAGAAAGGGCGAGTTTATTACTTCCTCCGAGCTGTTTAAATTATTTCGTTCTTGTATTATCGATTAATTAACGATTTCTTTGCTTGTCTGAGCAATTGTCAAAACTTTACTAATATATACTTTCTTGTTGTATTTCTCATGTATTTCTCACTTTGCATTTTTTTTATTTGTTATTTTTAAATTAAAGTATTTTAAAGAAAGAGATGAAAAAATTATATATTCAAATTTTATTCCAATTTAAAAATAAATAAGTTCCTAATTTTCTTTGCAAGAATTATCTTGATTTCGTTTCTTCACATGCTCTGCCAATAGTTTAAACCGCGCTATACATTGTTCCTAAAAGACAGCATCAATTTTTAAAGCTCTTTTAACTGCTTATAAACTATCGATATTTAACTATCGATAAACTATCGATATTTAACTATAAATTTAAAAAAACAAAAAAATATATTTATACTTTTGTTTTGTCAGGAACTGCTCTTGCAATACAAGACCATCGGTCTATAGTTGACTTTGGAAATTGTAAAATTGCTGCTTCCAAGCATTTCTGCTGTACTTGTGTCCACGAATCAACAGCAATGTCAGTTTTAACCACCGGAATGTTATCAGGAGCTTCTGATGGTTTATCTTCTAAAGGTCGTGTTTTTACCTTTTGTTTAACTGTTGTGTATACTTCTATTGGTTCTTCTTCACAAGGCATTCCTTCATCGTAGTCATCTGGAATATCATACTGCGACTGATACAAATCAGAGTCACTTATGATGGTTGTTTTTTTAAGCTCTCGGTCAATTGTTTTTGTTATAATCGAATCACTGATATTAATGGCAGTTTTCTTTTTGGATGATAAAGCAGCGGTTCCTGAATTAAAATTTCAATTAAATATCGAAAACTGATATAGAAATTGTCGTAGCAAATTGATAAATTATACCGATTGTATGAACAATTATAAGACTAAATTCATGATGAGAACTCTTACCGGTCGGGTTTGGTAAATTCAGTGCAATTGTACTTTTCATTTCTTTGACTTTTTTTGTAATCTGAAAGAATTTATCAAAACATTAACTAAAATAGCTATTATTAATATATCATATACAACAGTTACAATAATGAGGGGTGTTTCAAGATACGATACCATGTACAACTATTACATTACAATTACGGTATTATGTACAACTCTTTTAATCGTGAGAGTTGTTTTAAAAAGTTTCATTTAAGATTTTATGTAGAACTGTTTCAAATACGAGAAGTCAAAATCATACAACTGTTTTAAATGCGAGAGGTCAATCAAAAAAGGTATAAGTTCTAAAAGGTATTTGTAATTAAAATTTATTTGGAATTAACTTTCCACATAAATTTTTATTTATGTGAGAAGAAGATATTAAAGATTGCTAGGGTAAACTTGGAGATTTTATATTGCATAATTTAAGGTAACATAATGGAATGCATGAAACTTATTTTTTACTATTACTTTTTGTTTATGCGACACAATGATCGCAAAAAGTGACCAACGGAGCCGTCCAGTTTCGTAGACCTGAGAGATGTGATAATAAAAATAGTTAGAAGATGGTGTCATTGAATAAAAAATAAAAATAATATGAAAATATAAAATGAGTGATAAGACTTTTGTGAAGGTAAAGAACGAAGTAAATGCTCGGAGGGCAGAGATATTAAAGATTGCTAGGGTAAACTTGGGGATTTTATATTGCGTAATTTAAGGTAACATAATGGAATGCATGAAACTTATTTTTTACTATTACTTTTTATCAGAAAACTAACCAAAAATTTTAGTGTGAAGTTTCATTTACTTTTTTAATCGATAAAATGATATATATTACTTGTACTAAGATTGGTTTGGCTTTATTTCGTATAGACATTTGAATATATTGGCATAGAGTAAGCGAGTCAAAAATACCTTTCTTGATTATTGTACTTGCTTTTAGGTTTTTATATGCACATAATTTTAACAAATTTTTAAATACATTTAGTGACATCCAAGAAAGTTACCCATTTTAATATTCAAATATACTCTGATTTTTTGAAAATTGTTTGTTTTTACAATAAAGATTTTAAATTAAAACTTGGCAAAAAAGTGAAAAATTTTCAATATTAATGCAAATAAGGATAATGTACAAAGTTCCATTCAATTATTAGATTCAGATATGGTGCTCGCTAAAAAAAACTCAACACACACTAGAATTCGGAAATAATTCAATGAGGTCTTAACTCCTAATGAAGAGCATTTATCTTCTGCAATTTGTAGATGTAGAAAAATTAGCTTCAAGATTAAAAAAAAGGAGAATGATCTATTTTAAAGAATGAGCACCTTTAGATAATTTTTAAAATTTCTAATTGGTTAAGTGGTTACTGTCTTGTATCCCAGTTAAAGTGTGTTAGCGCTGTTGGCAAACAACTATTTGAAGAAGAGCACCTCCAAACTACTATATTATGGAACCAAAATAAATTTTGCGTTATTTCAAAACGAATTATCAAATGCTTTTTAAACTATAATATAGATACAAGATAATTTTTTTTTTCAATCTTTTACCTCATCTCCTCTGCGACCAAGATCATGACCAATTCGTTCCCATCTTCCAAGAGTGCCAGCAGGATATTTACACATTGCTTTCGCTAAAGATGCATAATCCTCCTCAGTCCACTCTTCGTCTTTTCTCTAAAAAAATTTATTATATAAAATTTTCACCCTAGATGCTAGATACATAAAATGAGTTCTTAATAAGTTGTCATTTTCTATTTTATAAAGTTGTTCCATTAATTTTGTAAAATAAATATTGTGAATTATGAAAAAAATTAATAAAAAATATAAATTAAAAAAAATGAAAAAAAAACTACTAAAAAAAAAAAAAAAAAAAATGCAAATCTAATCAAGCATTAAACTATTGCATAAAATTTAAATAAAATATATTGCATATATTTTAAATGAAAAGTTTTAATGTTTTACTTATAGATCTAGAAGATACAAGACTAAAAGCATACAATATATAATACAATGTTGGCGTTTGTGTGTACATGCACACAAAGTAAGCAAAACCCTGCATTTTTCACAAACTCTGTAATATTGTAATAATTTGCAAAATACGCAAAACCATTAATTCTAAAAATTAATTTAATTCAAACAATAGAATATCAACTGAATCGAGTAAAACACAATAAGAAAACAATTAACCAATAGAATATCAACTAAATTGTGGGTAAAAATCTAAAACAATCAAAAAAAAAATAAAAAAATAGTATTATTGAAATTTCAAACTCTGAATACAATAATAATTTAACTTTTATCTTGTTGATTTTTAGTGTTTCTTGAAAACTTTTACTAGAAGAAAATTTAAAAAAACATAGTATTTTACATCCCATTATATCAAAGAAAGCATCTGGAGTCATTAAAAAAATAACTAGGAACCTGTAGTTTTAAATAAAAAATCATCACAAGATTTAACTATTTTGAAAAAATCATGAAATACAGAAAAGATTCTGAGTTTAAAAAATAAAACATAACATTTTAGTGGAAAGTGATTGCAAACATAAACGTAACAAAAATATTAAAAAATGAATTTTGCAAAAAGAAAAAAAAAAAAAAATACAAGCAAACCCAAAGAACTTCCAAATACAGGTTAAAATTTTGCAGGTAAGACTGTTTAAATTTAATTCTTTAAAGTTCCTTAATATTGCATTATCTATGGCAGACTTTATTGAAATGAAATTCAAGCACGGTTTATACGTGTTTTATTTATGTGACTAGGATGACTCTGTGATTGAAGCATCAGTTTTATTCATAAAGCAGAAAGAAAATATGTCAACTTTCCCACTATTCACTAGAAGAGATTTAAAAGCCAGAATCAATCCAATTCAAAAAACAAAGCTCACTTCAACACATTGTCTTTAATAGAATGCCCCTAATGGAAGAGAATTTTTGGAAATTTTGAAATTAAAACTTTTTATGCAAAAAAAACTCGAATATTTAATAGTAAATAAATTTCCTCATTTTTTCTGCATGTTATAAATACATATTTTACATTGAAAAAATCTAAATTTACTTGGCTGCAATCAATATTGTAATAGTGTTAAATTAAATGCAATAGTGTTGAATTAAATGCAATAGTGTGGAATTAAATCTTTAATCTAACTAATCATTTAATTAAAATTAATTAAAAATAAAGTAAATATTTTGGTTTATGTGTTAAATATATTTATATATATATTTTTATATATATATGAATTTACATATATATACTATATATCTATAAACATATAAACCAATATAAACCAATATTTAAAAACATACAAAATGGATAACGATAAAGTAATTACAATGGGAACGCTTCGAGAACTCATGTCAATACAAGGAGATACAATTTTCAAATGTTTTAAGGAAAGTTTGGTCAGTGTCCTGGAAAAAGTTGAGAACTAAGCCAAAGACATTGAAGAAATAAAACATAGGCTTACTTTTGCTGGTGATCAAATTAAGACAAAAGTAAGCAAGGTTGATAGTAAAATGGCAGAAATTAAAGAAACTATTTTGGGTATTAAATCATTCCATGGAAAATTAAGCAGCGATTCGATTGAAAATAAAAGAAAAACTGTTGATCTTGAGGATCGAAACTGACGTAACATTCTAAGAATTGTTGGAATCAAAGAAGAAAATAACGAATCTTTTAATGATGATGTAAAAAAAGAAAACCTACTAATTAAAGAAGATCTTGAAATTGTGGATCCAATTATTATAGAAAGAACGCATCGTGTCGTCAAATTTAGTGGAAAGCCTGAACTATTGTCTGCAAAATATTAAACTGGCAGGACAAGGAAAACATCTTATCCAACGCTCGTAAACTCAAGGGCAAAAATATATTTATTAATGAAGACTATAGTGATGAAACAATGCAAATTCGTAAAGAACTTTTTGTACAAGCTAAAATACATTGTGGTAACGGAAAATACGCGAAAGTCATTTACAATCGATTAGTGGTAAGAGAAATTATAAACGAGAACGAAGGTGTTGAAAGCGAGTAATTTATATATTTACGTTTTATTTAAGGATAATAATGAATATATCTAAAACAATTCATAACAATGAAGCAAATTTAACAAAATTAATATCTCCAATTTTTGAAATTTTGAAATATAACAAAAAAGATTATAATTTTTTGACTGAAATAGATATTAATTGCTTAAATAATGAATATTATAAACCGGAAGAATTTAGGAAAAAAAAGCTTAACAAAGATTTAAACATTTTAAGTATAATTATACGGTCAATGAACAAATATTTTGAATCATTTAAACATTTTTATTATTCTTTAAATTATCTTTTTGACGTAATATAATCCGAAACTTGGGAAGATGCAAATTTGCCCATGTCAGAAAATTCCCTATACAATTTAGTTTCATATAAAATGATAAGTCAACCAAGTGTAAACAGCAAGGGAGGTGGCGTTGCAGTGTATATTCTTGATAAATTTGAATTTATAAAAAACAGCACATTTTCAAAAACAAATAAACATATTGAAACTTTGTGCATTGAAGTGTTAAATACTTCTAGTAAATCATTTTTAATCTCCTCATTGTATTAACCGCCATGTGGTAAACAAGTTAACTTCCTTAATATCTTAAAAACTTCTGTCTCAAATGAGTAAACAAAACAAGCACATTTTTTTGCCGGAGATACAAATATGGACGCATTAAGTTATGAAAAGTTTGCAAACATAGTAAACTTTTTCAATTTACTATTTAAATTTTTTTTTTTTTTTTTTTTGTAAATTGTGGTACAATCCTCTCTCAACTCTTTAACTCCGAAACACGAACCTTGACAAGCAAGGCCGCTGCGCGGAGAAATTAAGTTGAGCGCGGTACTTCCAGGGACATAGTCGAACTCCGAACCTCTCGCTTACAAAGCGAGTGCTCTTACCACTACACCACTACCGCATATTTAATATAATACCCACCATATTTAAGCCTATGCACATTACTAACCAATCATCTTCTGTGATTGACAATATTTTAACAAACTGTTCCCTAAATACTAAATTTGAATCAGGACTCTTTATTGCAGACTTTTCTGATCATTTTCCCGTTTTCCCTATTGCACTCGAAGTACTATCTAATATCGACAATAAAAAATGCTTTGTGATTACAGAAATCTTTCTATAAAAAACTTAAATAATTTTTAAAACAAACTGCAAGTAGAACAATGGGATAAAGTTTACTCATCAACAGATCCTAACATTGCGTTGGACCATTTCTCAAGCACATTTCAAAATATCTTTGATAATGTATGCCCGAAAATAATTACAGGAATAAAAAACAAAGAATATAAGAATCCATTGATGACAATAACTTTAATTAAAGCATCAAAAAGAAAACAAAAACTTTACGTAAAATTTTTGAAATCAAAAAATAAAGAAGATGAAAAAATATACAAAAATTATAAAAAGTTTTTTCAACATAGTATGAAAGAAGAAAAAACAAGGTATTTTTCTAATCAGCCTGACAAGCATAAATTCGACGTAAATAGGACTTGGGCTGTAATAAACGAACTAACAGGAAAAGAGAAAAAGAAGACTTGCTTACCATAAAAACTAATTTCCGATAAAAAAATTATAATAAGTACAACAAAAATATTTTTTTTTGTTGAGACTATTTTCTTTTGTTGTAAATATCTGATCAAATAAATTTGCAGCAGAAACTTCAATATTTTTTTTCTTTTTTTTTAAATCAGATACTAAAATAATGTTTTTACGATTTTCGTATCTGGAGATTAACGCCTCTGCAAATTAATGTCAGTTTCTACATCTTCAATTAGCTGAGTAACGTTTCCATAACAATGTCACATTCCAAAATTGTTTTATTTTGTATTTCTAAACAAACTGCAGCAGCAGGAATGACTTCCAACAGACAAAAATTTCAACAAATCCAAATCAATGTCATTTAAGATTTTTAGGCAGTTTAGATCCTTGGGTGTTTTTTTTTACTCCTTCTAAGCTGTAAAAAAAAACACATCCAAAAATCTTTTATTATCTCAAAAACACTGTTTCATCTAGTGTCCTATTGAAGCAGCAGACCTTTTTCATCTAAATATCCGTAAATTTTGTGCATATTTCTTTTAGAACTTCATATCAAAACGATGAATATTTCAAGAACTTAATTAGTATTCGAAGTTTCTTTAGACTTTTTTTGATATTTTAATCATATTCAATCTTTTTCTCCTAATAATTATTAAGCAATTCTACTTCATTCTCTCCATCCGTTTCTGTTTCTGCTTCAATATTTGATTCAGATTATTTGCAGTCCACAATTTTGTGACAATCTTTTTAGCGTATATCATGTTAAAAAAACTAAAATGATTTGAATAATTCTGGCAATCTATAAATGTTTCAGAAGAACATGGAGATAGCAATTTCACCTATCCAAAGCAATACATGAAGTCATGTTGAACATTTAAATTATAGTATCTTCTACCTTTACTGCTACACCTATCTTCACCTGCTAATCTTCAGATATTTGTTATTAATTCATTTAAATTAAATAATTTAGCTTTGAATTAATTGTTTAATTGTTGTTTAAAATGTTTAATTACACTTACCTTTTACACAAATTAATTTAATTTTTTATTTTTGTTTGTTTTTAAAGTTAATTTATAATATTATAAAATTTTCTGCCAACTGTGATGTCACATTACGTTGTCATTGAAAAAAAATTTCTGAAGAGAACAATTTCATTTTTAAATTAACAACTTGGAAATATTGTAAAAAAGCAACAAAGAACAAAAGGACAATTTAATTATTTTACCAGAAAAAAAGAATTTTTTTTAAAAACTTTGTCGGAGTTTCGTCAAGGTTTCTTGATTTCTCTTGAACTCCGAAACTCCGAAAACTCAAGAAAAGTCTGAAAATACGGAGTTCTGAATGGATCTATTGATTATCATTTAACATAAATTAATTTCTTTCTTTTCTCAACATTTGTAAATGTAAATGAATTAAAATATGTTAGTTTTTTTTTTTTTTTCATAATTTCTTAAAATTGTGACTTTGCAAATAATATTGACAAAAAATATTACTTGTTGCAAAAAAATAAAAAATAAAAATAAAAAAATCAAAGTAATTATTTTACCAGTACTTTATTTTTGTGTCAAACAATGATTTAAGTTTCCAACTACCATTTAATAAAAAATATATACATTGTACTTTCACTTGCCTTATTACAAAAAAGTTAAATGTACGATTTTTTTCTAAATTATTGAGAAATTTCTGTTTTCACTTTTTTGATATCGCATAATCTGTTAATTATATAAAGCTAATGTAACTATTATAAAATATTATTTTTCTAAACTTATTTATTTTTCTCAAAATAAAACTTATAAATATAAAAGAAGATATTGCAAGAGCTATATTACTTCAAGCGTAAATACTTATCATAATTAATTAAAAAACTTCTATAGATGTAACTCTGCAATTAGTTTTTTAATAAAATATATTGAGGGAGTTTATATACCCTCATTATAAAATATATTTATACTTGATGTTTATATATTTGATATATTTATTCTTGAATCTAAACTCCCTCGAAATATTATATTGAAAAATTAATAATAGAGTTATATGCATAGAAGAAGTTTTTTATTTAATTATAAAAGAAAAAACTTTTTATAAAACGTCATTTAAAGTTTGTAATGATTAATGTTTTTTCATTTTATTGATAAAATCAATCATTATAACAAAACAAAACAAAACAAAAAATTTAAATATCAAAGGTAACGTTAATATGAAATAAAATTTAATGTGTACTAATTTTTAGCTAATATATATTTTTTTTAATTTGGTAATTATTTTTGTTATTATTTGCTATGAGAAACTGTCAAATGTAAATCTAAATAAGTATTCTCGTGCTTACAAGATAATAAATAAAAAATTCTTTATTATACATCTTTTACGCGTCATATATAAATAATAAAAAGAGGCTCGACTGAAGTGATGTAACATGCACATAAATGGTGCGCCATTATACGCTTTAAAACAAACCCTGATATGTGTATATGAATATATATATATATATATATATATATATATATTATATATATATATATATATATATATATATATATATATATATATTGACTGCATGGTATCTTCTGAATCCTTTATTTCTTTTTAAAAGATTTTCTTTTTAATCTCTGTTAAGGCAATATATTTTTCATCTTATATGAAACACATTTATATACCACATTATTTCATACACATTTACCACTTTGCACCATTTTTTCAAATGGCGTTTTTCTTACTATTGTGCAATTTATCTTTAGTTTGTTTCCAATTGCAATATTATCTTTTATTTTTAAAAATGGATCTAAATACTTATTTAAAAAATGATATCTAAACACATAAATCAAAAATTACTAGTTAACTGTTAAAAATAATTAAGAAAAATGAATTATTTAAGAAGAAAAATTACTGATCGTAATTCTGTGTTATTAAACTCATAACTGTTTGGTAAACTCTGCACGGCAGGTTCTTCGTTTTCAAACTCTGATGCATCGCGAAGAGTGGGCTTCTCTTTAACACGTTTTGGTCGAAGTTTTTCTAAAACGTACAAAAAAAACTTTAAAAAATTGTTTATACAAGATGTTTTTACAATATAAAAACTTAATTTAAAGTTTTGCATTAAAAACCAGTATTAAAATATAAATTAATCAATAATAAGGAAATAATATAAAATGTCAACTTTGATTTCTATGGTTATATTAACTGATAGCAATGTTTTCTTTAACTGTAGTAGCATCTAAGTAAGAAATAACCAAAAATACCAAGTAATTTTATATGGCTCAGTATTTAGCACGCTGACTACTAAATTATATTTTTATATGGTTCAGTATTTAGCACAGTGACTAATAAATTATATCCTTTAACTTCGATATATGAATTATGACATAAATACAGTATTACAAAGACTGTGGTGAAAATTAAACTTTGAACTCCTCACTTACGAAGTGAAGAGAGTATCAGAACACAATTGTATATGAAGTATTTAAACACAATGGTTACCTAAGGAAATCTTTTTATTCCTCAAAATATTAAGTTGCTTCATTTAATTGAAAAAACTAGATGTTTGATTGTTCAATACTTGTGTTTCTTACATTAATTTAAATAAAAAATGTTTTTATATAAAAAGTACGTTAAAGTACTGTGAAAACTTTGGTAAAACTAAAAAGAATTCAATTGAAGTCAAAATTTAATATGATTTATTTATTAACTTCTAGATATATATTTTTTTAATTTCAAAAACTCTTAACTAGCAACTCATTCCTACATAAAATATATAAGTTAAACAAACATGCAAATCATTAATACAAATAATATTAATGTAAACAAACATACATTGTAAACAAACATGTAATGAAACAAATTGAATTGGTTCATAAAAATTTTAAAAAAATCATTTAAAAACAAAAAGCTTTTAAAGACACAAAAACTTCAGAACTTTTGGAGTCAAATAGTGATGATGTGAGTTACATTATTGGGGCTAAATAAGTATGATATCATTAAGATTATGTTAGAAAATTACAAAATAATATATAAAAAAACATTTAAATAGTAAATAGCAAACTTATGGACTTTAAACACCTACACCCATTTCCCTGTTTTAAAGTATAAATCTATGAACTAAGACAACAGCAATAACAGAATTAAGAAACTTAGAAAAAACAGTATCATATTCTATACAGCTGTGCATAACCCCACTGAAACAGTTAGACTTTGCAGGTTTGTAAACTTCGTAAGGCACTCTTTTGCATTATAAATATGCTCACTGTGTTGTTCAGCTGTTAAATTTTTCAGTTGTGATGTTCAGCTGTTAAATTTTTACTTGTTATTATTTATTTAATATTCAAACTAAGTGATACATAATAGAAAAAAAAAAAATTAATTATTTTTATTAAGTAAACTACTTATCTTTCTGAGAAAAGTGATTTTTATTCATTGTTTACGAAAAAACCTGTTTAAAACAAAAATTTGCCATCTTATGTTAATTATTGTTCAACAAAAGGAACTGTTATTGATGCAAATTCTAAAGCTCTTGTGTTAAAAATCTCAAAATCTTAAAAAGGAGCGCCCACAATGCCATTCCATTTTCAAATTGTTGTTTGTACTAAAATTGACTATATCTTTCTCCTTTTTTTTCCCTAGTTCTTTTTATAAATCAAAATACATTGTTATTGCACTTTTTTTTTAATTTTTTCATTGCACTCTACCACTACACCACTACTATTTAAATAATAGGTATTAAAATTTTAATTGTTTTTTAAAAAGTAGCAAATGCTGTGATAGGATTCTTTATTTTTTTTATTGTCTATACTAAAACACTTTGAACTTTTTTTATATATTAGAAAATTATCCAGAATTAATACCTTTTTAAATTAACTTTTTCTTATAACTAACTTGCATGTAAAAAAATCCAGAGCATCTTAGATTTTGCTAATTTTTGCAACACTTGAAGATTTTAATAAGTTATGAACATCCCTATAGTTTCATCGTCTATTTCCAAATAGTTTCAAAGATAAAACAACTTTAACTTTGCCTTGAACCAACAAAAGTCTGCCATTTTAAAAATTGGTTTTGACCTTTTTTTTGTTTTGCGTACAATGGAAAGCTTAAACTATGCACACATACATATTTTGAGGCTAGAATTCCAAAAATAAAAACTTAAAATATTTAAAAATAAACATAACAGAAACTTAGGGCGAGTTTAATTACAAAAATGCTAATGTAGCAAATTTTTTTTTCCCCTTCAGATGTCGCCCTGAATAATTTAGTTAGTTGTTACAAACAATGGGAAAGTGGTCTTTTTTTAAAACAGAAAAAAATATATCGTCTAACTTACTTACAATTTTCATTTATTTGTAAACACACAACTATCTTCAAAAAGACTTATGATATTTTGATGATAATCGAATTAAAGATTAATCTAGTTAACTAAAGCTGGTTGAATTAAAATGTATAATCTAGTCTAATCTAGTTAACTAGACAGATGCTAAAGATTAAATAAGTCGTAACAATCTAGTTAACTAGACAGATGCTAAAGATTAAATAAGTCGTAACAATCTAGGCATCTAGACTCAGATTAGTAATCCTAAGATCAAACCATTTTTAAATAACAATACTGATCACATAATAAATTAAGGGTGTCATATTAAAAAAAAAAGATTAGAACGTAATTTTTTTTAAACATCTTTTAAAAAGGAGCTGCAAAGTTAAGGAAAGTATGCTAAAATTATTTATAATAAATCACACACAATTTTTAAGTAAACTTTCATTTTATAATTTTTTTAATTAAAAAATTTCTTAAATGGATTCAAACCAATAATATTAAATCTAGTTCATTAAACTTTTTTCAAACTAATGATTTTTTAATAGACAATGAATCCGATCATGATAAATTGTTTCAACATTTAAATTGTTTTATGTATTAACATAAAATAAACATATTATGTTAAATGTTATGAATCAAATATATTAAATAATTTGATTAGAAAATGCAATAACTTAAAACTCATGTACTAAATGCAATAACTTAAAACTCATGTACTAAATGCAATAACTTAAAACTCATGTACTAAATGCAATAACTTAAAACTCATGTACTAAATGCAATAACTTAAAACTCATGTACTAAATGCAATAACTTAAAACTCATGTACTAAATGCAATAACTTAAAACTCATGTACTAAATGCAATAACTTAAAACTCATGTACTAAATAAAACATAAAAAGAATCATTATAAAAATAATTTTTAACCATGATTATGAAAAATAAATTTTTCATAATCATGGTTAAAAACTATGGAAAATAAATATACTCGTGACAAGTATGTTTTTTGACATCATTAGACAAATCTTAATTCTAATGGATATTTATTATTAGTAGACTCTTATTTCAAACTTAATTTTCAACCTTGCACATCATTTATTTCAGCAAACTGGGATTATTAGAGGACGGATGCAATATAGGGTACATACATCAATTAATTTATTTAGCTATAACCACAGTGAGTCATGTAATGAAGATTGTTTTTCATGTTCACAGATATGAAAGACACAGTCCACCTAGCAACAGACACAGACCCATAATGGAATATAGTTATTCAAAACGCTGTATTTTAAAGGTGATTAACCATAATTAAAAAAACTTATCAAACCTACTTATCAACCGCTAAATTTCCTTTATTACCCTACTTAATCAACAGCCTCTTTTACTTTACTTTCTCTAACAACCTATTTATTTACCAGCTTCTCTTGCTTTTTCAGCTTCACGCTCTTCTTCTTCCTTTCTTATTTTCATCTCTTTTTCTTTTTTTCTTTTATCGATTCTTTCTTTGATGTGTGAAGGCATTTTAGAAATGTGGTATACTAAAAATCTGTATATAACAAATGGCAGTAGGTCCCAGCCAGTGGGTTTTCGATAACCAAGTTCTTTTTCTATTGAAAATTTTTTTAAATATAACTATTAATTTTTCATTTTATCATTTTAACTTAAAACTTTTAACTTATTTATTATTAAATTATTTTTATTTATTTCAATTTATTTAAATTAATTAATATCATTAAAACTTAAAGAAATTTTAATTTAAAAACTATTAGAAAACAAAAGGTTAAACAAAAATATTGACATATAAAAGAAATACGTAATATATTATCTGTATCCAAATCTTCTTGTGGAAGTTTTCCTTTTGCCTTTTTTTTCTCTTGTCGTTTTCTTAAAGGGTTTAAAACTTCGTCCTAAAAGTTACAAACATTTCCTATAATATGCTGTAAGTTACAAATAAATGTATATATTGATGACTATAATATTTGTTTAGCTTGTGTGTATTTACTTTGTAAAGTCTGTGAATTATTTTTTAACTTTATATTTGTATAAAAATTTAACAATAAATAACAATATGTGTACTTAATACTTTAAAAAGCATGAATACATACTTTGAATGATATATATATATATATATATATATATATATATATATATATATATATATATATATATATATATATATATATATATATATATTAGGGTGTCCCAAAAAACAACTTTTTTAAAAATAATCTGCTCTCACCCCCTAAATGTGTTCTATCTAATACAAAAACACTAAGTTTAAATTTTTTTTCAATAAAAAATAATTTAAAGGGTCCCTCAAGACCCTTGAACATTTAATGGGTTCCTAATATTTTCAAAAAAAAAGATTTTAAAAATTATGTCAACCTGGTACTCAAACGAACCGAAATTATATAAAAATTTCAAAAAAAATGTTCATTTCGGAAAAAACGATACATACTTAAACGATACTTTTTTTTTTTAAACGAAATTGGCGATTTTTTTACAGAAAATTGTTTTTAGTTTTGGCAAATATTGTATATTTAAAGGGAAATATCGTTACAGATCGTTAAGCAAAAATCTATACTTGTTTGGCTAAATCTATACTTGTTATTAGACAAGTTCTGTTTTTTGTAGACCTAAAAGTCTCATTTAATTAAGTCGTTTACAGTATATTAACACATTAAAAAAACACAATTTTTAAACAACCATTGTTTTCATTCTACTTAAAGGTGTTAGAATAAGAATGTTTAATTAAAAAATATTTTCTAAATCTACAAATATATGCTTGTAGAGCAAAATGCTGCATTGCTTAACATTGTGCAATAGATATTATCGAGGGTTTGGGTTTTTTAAAAGAAAGATTATGCTGCTACTAAGCAAACAATAAAGACTATGAGTTTTGATGAAGAACATATTCATTAGAACTTCCTCTATACAGATTATTGGGATTTTCAATGCAAGTTTCTTACTGATATCAACAACTTTTCAACAACAAGACAGAAACAAGACAGATTAATACAAATTAATGATTATTAAGACAGATAAATGGTTATTATATTTTATTGACTTGTTATTTAAATATACATCAACTATTATTATTGTATATCATATTATGTATAATATATGTTAACTATAATGTATACTTTTGTGATTTACTATAACTTTTTGTTTTCTGAAAATGTTTTAAAAGTATTTGGACAGAAATAAGCAAAACCTTGTGATTTTAGATTCTAAATAACCAAATTTTTTTTTTTTTTTTTTTTTTAATTGAGCCTTTCAACTAAAAATTTTATGTTTTCTAACTTGAGATAATGAGCTTAAATTAAAAAAATAAAATTTACAAAAATAAAAACTACATACAAATTAAAAGAATGCTGCTTAAATTAATGTGTCCCCTTCATTTATTAAGTGGTATAAATTCTGATAAATACCATTATGAATTGTGCAATTTTGACATTTAGAAAAACCAATTTTTGGTTTCTTCTTTGATAATACTCTGCAAGAAATTTGTCAAAAGCAATTTTTAACACTATCAAAAAAGGAAAGGAAAAAAAAAAAACATTAAGGAAGAAACTTAAAGTATGAGGAAAAAAAGAAAAAGGAAGAGAGAACCAGATCGAAAGGAAAAAAAAAGTCAATAAATTAAAGTTACAAATAAAAAGTTTTTATGATACAAACCATTTTTAGATTAAAAATGTAAAAAATCAGCAAAAATAAAATATTATTAAAAAAATAAATTCTGAAAATTAATATGAAAAATATGTGGGATAAAAATGTGACAGAAATAACTATAGTAGAGCGGGAGCAAAATGATAAAAATTGAGAACACTACACAGATTTCAATGCATTACTTAAAAACAAGTCAAGGCTCATTTTAAAAACTGTAGCGTTTTTCCTAATGCATTTCCAAAACATTATGCCTAACGTTTTAAGGTACTGTTTGCAGTAAGTAGCTCTTTTTAACTACCCCAGGTCAGGTCAGGTTGAGGATCATCGCAATCACCCTGCTACTGGTATCACATAATCCAGTACTACCTGCCCCATGCCCTATGCTTTTTAGGCAAAAGCTAGGAGAAACAAACTCTGACTTAAAAATTCCTTGGGGTTCTAGGTTAAGTAAAGGTTAGAGATAGTGTCTCGATAAAAATACTCATCTTGGGCAGATGTTATCTACATTCAGCTACTGTCTTGTAGGAGGCCTCCTAGGCAAAGACTTTAGGGGTAGGCAAAAAAATTTTGCTAAACAGCCTCGAACCCCTACTTTTTATCTATTAGGTTAATGTAGATGTAAACTTGTTACATTGTTTCCTAACTAGGATGATGTTTGACTCACCATTCAGCAAAGTCTTATTCATTTACTTTATCTGTCCCTGCATACTCTAAAAACTTTTATTTGTCTCCCGTCCTTCAACTCTTTGGAAATCTCTGCCATCTTCATATTTTCCTGATTCATACAACTTACAACTTTTCAAGTTTTCCTTCAATCATTGCCTCGCTCTACAACTCTATTTTTTTCTGATTGCAGCCTTGCTGGGAGTGATTCAGAAAATGTTCAATATGCATATTTATGCAAATGTTTAGTTATGCATATTTTATACTTGTGCATATATTAGTAAAATTATTAGTATTTTTATATGTATATATTTAAATTCCATAGCTTATTATTTTAAAATCTGTGCACTCACTACATCATATATAACCTACATGAGTTTAAAATTAATTTGTGAAAAACTAAAGAGCTAACATTACCATTTCAAACTTTTTTTCATAGTATGCAACCAACCATGTCAAATAATGTCCAATAGTAACAAGAATAGATACTATTAAAGATATTTCAAGAGTACCCATTTTTCTATATTTTCTATAATAATATGCTGGCTGCCTCCAGGTGGGTAAACCATTTTTAAGCACATTGTCATATCTAAATATAATATATATATACAATATAGATTTTTGAAATTTTTAAAGTTTTATAAAAACAGATTTATTCATTTTCGTTCATTATTATAAGTGTTTGAAATAAAGTTTCTGGATGCATATTTCAAAAATTAAAGTGTACAAAAACTAGAAATTATACTTTACATGATAAATTAAAACACATTAAATAAACAAGTTGTTATGATTATTTACTTTTCTCTTTTGTCTTTATCCTTCAGTACTTCATATACAGCAACAAGCTAGAATTAAGTTATAATTTGAAGTTAAAATATTAATAGAGTTATATTATATATTATAGTAAATAAAATATAAAATAAAATTTTGATTGTTCTAATCTGTTCAATAAAAAAACCAGTCAACATTAAAATCATATCGGATCCTGCATTTAAATACACTCTACCATTACATAATGGCACATTAGTAATGTGCTAGCCTACTAAAACTATATTAGACTTTTTAAGTAAATAAGAAAAGATGTTGGTATCATAATTTGTACTTTAAATGTATAGTTTTAACAACCCTCTCTCAACTCTTTAACTCCGAAACACGAACCTTGACAAGCAAGACCGCTGCGCGGAGAAATTAAGTTGAGCGCGGTACTTCCAGGGACACAGTGGGAGTCGAACTGTGCTGTACATCTACTTTACATCTTCTGTACTCTACATCGATTGTACATCTATTGTACTGTACATCTATTGTACATCTACTCTACTATTTTTTAAAAACATTTTAAATTTTAAAACTTTGAATAATGCTACTATTAGAATTAATATTTTAAACAACTAAATTTTTTTTATCTATAATTTGATGTTATTTTGACACAAACATCAAATATTAATCACTAACAAATTAAAAACAGAAATATTTGCTCAGATGCTCCTCAATATGGTCTTTAAATTGTAAAACGATGCCTTAAAACCATAATTTGGGGTAGAATAACAGTTAATCAAAGTTACAGTTTATGGTTTATACCATACAACAACAATAAATTTCTGAAAAGATTTAAATCATTTTCTGATACTGAAATTTCTGATGACAAATTTTACATCTTGTTCTTTCTCAAACTTTTGCATTTTATTAAAAAATTAAGTCTTGTTATGTCTGACTTACACCTGCTTTCAATATAGTATTTATTATTTTATAATTTTATTTATAACACCTCATAAAAAAAATTTTGGACAAAATTTAAAAATTAATATTTTAAGAACTAATAAGTTTATTTAATTTATTATTTAATATTTCAACTGTTAATATGTTAATATATGTAGTTTATAAACATATTAAAATAATCATTTCAAATACCATATTTAGCAATATCATAAAGTTTTTTTGAAAGATGTTTTATTTGAGTAAGGAAAATTTCTTTATTCATCTTTGAATAGCAATACCTAATTCTTGCTTCAAGCTCTTCCAAAATCTCAGCTCTCCAATTATTGTCGAACACAAGCTGTTTTAAATCACCCCAAAAGTTTTCAATTGGTCTTGCTTCTCAAACGTTAGCTGGGTTTATATCTTTGGGTACTCATTGTCTTTTTTATAATATTCTGATACTAGAGGAAGTGAAGTTTTTTTCTAGTATCTCTTTATAAGTGTACTGGTTGATTGCCTGCTTACTGTGATGAATATAAAGAGGGCTTATTCCACAGGGACTGATCGGGACACGTGGGACACGTGTCAATGTCACGGAAGTTTTTTAATAATTAAAAGAAGTATCCAGAACAAGAAATTAAGAGCTAGTCCTCATACTTTTTACACAAATTTTATCTTACTTTGTCAGAACATTGAGAAGGATCAACAGCATAAAACCTATCATTACCAGCTAATGTACTATTGTTTAAGGTAAAATAGCTTTCATCATTCATAACAAAATCCAAGTTTTTATAATTTTTGTACAGTTTACAACATTTAAGACGCATAGCTTTCTTCTGCTGATGGCTACGATCTGGAGGATTTGTTTTTTTGAAAGTTCGAATGTTAGTCATTGTTATTAATACTTGGGAAATTCGAGTTTCACTACAGTTAAAAACTTGAGCTACTTTCTTTTGGGAGAACCCTGACTTATTTTCAAAAAATGCGACAACCTTTGGAATATTTTCTTTAGTAGCTACACTAGCGATTCAACCACTTCCAAATTTTATTTTAAGAGATCCATTCTTTAATTTTGCGATTTTATCGTAAGCAGTTGATTTGGGTAAATCCCATTCCATAAACTGCTTAGCAACAAACGCTTTATCTTTTTCTTGATTTTTTTGGAAAAAAATTTCCATCATTTTTTCGAGTCTTTTACTTTGACCATTTTATTTTTATTATTTAAATGATAATTTTAACTTAATTAAATTAGATTTAAATAGATTATAAAATCCTCTTTCAAATAAGTATAAAGGTTTTTTGCATGCATGAAATAAATTACAAAATAAATCCAATTAAAATTATTCCAAAATTTTATTTATAGGGTGTTATTTATTTATTTATTAATTTCACTTAATCTTTGAAACCTTTTTGAGTATTATCTAATGCAGATAACTAACTCTTAAACTAACAATTCATTGAAATCCACGATCTACAACTCATGCTGATGCTAATAAATTGACCAATCTAATTAAGTGTAAAGATTCAGTATATGATTTATATACTGAATCTTAGATTGATCAATTTATCAGCATCAGTATTTATGCATGAGGTTTTTATGGGTATTATCATCACCTTCCCCTCTTATCTCGAGTAATAATGCAGAGGTCGTTCTCACCAAGAATGTTTTACCTTTATTTAAAACCAGCAAGGAAAATATAAATCTATAATCACATACTGATTTTTTCAACTCAATTAGATTTGTCATTTATTAGCACCAATATTGTGAGTTTCAATAAATTGAAATTCAAAATCTACAAAAATGGTTGGCTGTAGTGAACCATCTAAAACGAGAAACAGGGCCTATTTTAAGGTTTGTTAAATTTTCAGGTAACTCTCCAGATCTTATTGTTGTTACAATTTTGTATCTGAAAGCCTGATCAGCTTCTAAAGATCCTTAAATATTTTGTCTGACAAAACATTACTTGGTTCACATAAAGTTAATTTTTCAATGTTTTTGTTTGCAACCAGATCTGTAACCGTATGAAGAGTTTTTCTAATTCGCCTGACTATTTATTATTAGAAAGTGTTTTTCTGCCTGATTTAACTATTAGATGTCTGTGGGGTGGTTCACTAGTATGAAAAGCGCATATGAGCCAGTTCAATCTTTTATTAAGTTCATTAATACAACAAATGACACCTATGGCAAAAATGACAACTTCCAGTATTAACCTTTTTTGAATCATTGCCGAATGCTTGTATGTGTAATACTTTGTTTAATAGATTGGGAAAAAAACCGACCCAATCCTTCTACTTCTATTTTTACTTTTTTAATGTCTTTTCTATTATTAAACAAAATAGTTAAAATTCTTATACATAATTATGATAAATATAATTCTTCCTCTTAATTAGTCTTATTGAATTCATTTTTTCTGTAAAAAAAAAAAGGATTTTCAAAGCAACACATTTTCATATTTATTTGTTATTTGAAGATTCATATTCCTCATGAAAATATTTTACAAATAGTTTTTTTTTATATAATTTTTTCTCTTTCACTAGTAAGATCTTAGTCATTATCTTAATCAGATTCGGAATAAATAAAGTTCTTCACAAAAATGAATTAAAATTATTCACAAAAATGAACTTCCCTTACTTTAAAAATTTGATGAAAACAAGAAAAAAATGACTCACTCTACCGTCACATTCTCTGTATAAAATATGAAAAAAGTGTTTGATTTTTCTAAAAATAACCTTCACAAAAACTCACTTTCTCAGTTACTTTTTGAAACAAATATTCAATTTTCTTAAAATTCAACATAGTAATTATTGAAATTATAAAAAGTTTACAAAATTTTTTTTTTGAAAAATTATAATTTCCACCTGTTAAGTTTTATTCATTTAGTCAGTTTTTGTACATTTTAGTCATTTTTCCATTTCAAATACTGCTGACCCATGCAGCAAGACATAATTAAAATTTTTTTTTTTACAGATTTGGAATTCGCATAAAATTTTTCACCAAAAGTAACCCTGCCATTTTTAAAATTAAAAAATTGAAACACCCTAATATGGGGTAGTAAACTAGTGGTTGAACACTTGGCTCTACAGCACATCTGAAAGTATTCTGATCAACCTATTTCTCCACACAGTAGCCATATTTAAAAACTTATATTTTGGAGTTGTTATTTTGAAGGGTTAAAACAAAGTTGCAAACAAATATTATTAAAATATATTTAAAAAAATAATTGAGAATTTGTTTGTATGTAATTACTTACATTAGGTGGATCATAATGGGCCATGTATGCTTACAAATACAAACAAAAAATCTGGATAGATATAGAATGTACTCTAAACATGTAAAAATCTGATAAAGAATCTAGTTTTAAAAAACGAGACCCCCTTAATGTATTGTATAAAATAAAATAAAAAAACTGGTTTAAAATTTTTTTAAATAAAAAATATTTTTAGGACTCCCTAAGACCCTTAAATACATAACAAGTTCCTAATTTTATATTAAAAAAACTCTTCAAAAGTGTATCATGTTGGGTATCAAACGAAAAAAAATTATATATATAAAAGTGATATTATAAATAAATAAAAAACTTTGTAACATAATATTTAAATAACGAGTTTCTAATATTATGCGTTCAACAATAGATATATATATATATATATACAGTATTGGACAAAACATTTGCAAGTAACATCGAACAATGAAAAAAAGTGTTTCTAATTTTAAAAAGTGTTTCTAGTCTTAAAAACGAAACAAACTATACTACCACAGCAAACAGTTCAGGAATCTGGAGTTATAGCATGCCATGACATGAGCAATCAGCTGAAAGGTGACAGCACACAGGCAGAATTTCGTGCCATTTTGCAGCAGACTTTTTTGGTTTGTTTCATTTTCTTAAGTCTGTTCCGTGTCAATGTCACTGAAGTTTTTTAATAATTAAAAGAAGTATCCAGAAGTTTCCAGAAGCATTCCGAAGCTACCAGAAGTTTCCAGAAGAAGCATCTGGAAGCATCCAAAAGTATCCAGAAACATTCAGAAGCATCCAGACGCATCCAGAAGCTACCAGAAGCATAGAAAAGAAGCAGCTAGAATCCAGAACAGGTTCATTTTACTATATAAAAGACACGTAAACCGACATGTAATTCAGTCAGTATATGGAAG